GATTGCCAGTAGCAACCGAGTTTGAACCCAGACTTGCCTGGCTGATGCTCTACCACTTGAACTATGCCTCCAGCCCAGCTTTTTGCTGGTTATCTTGGAGATGGAAGTCTCACAGGCTTTACTGTCCAGGCTAGCTATGATCCTCTAGATCTTAGCCTCCTGAGTAAGTAGGATTACAGGCATCAGCCACTGCCATCCAGCTCTATCTAGTATTTTGATATGTATTGTCCATGGCTAAGTTTGTCCTACACAAAATGTGATATCAAATTCTACCTTGTTCAAGTTTTTGAGCTATCTCAGCCTTTCTACATATACTAGTTAGCCCTCCTTATATACCAGTTCTGAACCTATATTCAACAAACCATGGGTTGAAAAAAAAATTTTTTTGTCGCTCATGGGGTTTGAACTCTGGGCCTGGGCACTGTCCCTCAGCTCTTCAGCTCAAGCTAGTGCTCTACCACTTGAGCCACAGTGCCACTTCTGGCTTTTTCTGTGCACGTGATTCTGAGGAATCAAAGCCAGAGCCTACTCATGCGAGGCAAGCGCTCTACCACTGAGCTACCTTCCCAGCCCTCGACTGAAATTTTTCCAAGAAAAAAAATTGTGTAGTAGGTGCCAGTGGGTTGGTGGCTCACATATGTAATTGTAGCTACCAGAGGCTGAGATCTGATGATTGAGGTTTGATGCCAGCCTAAGCTGGAAAGTCCGTAAGACTCTTATCTCAAATAAACTACCCTAAAAAACAAAAACAAACAAATAAAAAAAACCTGGGCAGGCACCAGTGGTTCATGGCTGTAATCCTAGCTACTCATAAGGCTAAAATCTGAGGATCGCAGTTCAAAACCAGCCCGAGCAGGGGCTGGGAAGGTGGCTCAGTGGTGGAGCTCTTGCCTTATATGCCTAAGGCCCTGGGTTCGATTCCTCAGCACCACATAAGCAAAAAGAAAAAAGCCAGAAGTGGCGCTGTGGCTCAAGTGGTAGAGCGCTAGCCTTGAGCTGAAGAGCTGAGGGACAGCGCCCAGGCCCAGAGTTCAGGCCCCATGACTGGACCCAAAAAAAAATAAAAACCAGTCCAAGCAGGAAAGTCCTTGAAACTTATTTCCAATTAACCACCAGAAAACTAGAAGTAGTACTATGGCTCAAAGTCCTTGAATGAAACAGCTCAGGAACATCTCAGAGGCCCTGGATTCAAGCCCCATGACCACCAACACCAAGTCGTAGAGCACAAGCCTTGAGCCAAAGAAACTCAGGGACAGCACCCAGGCCATGAGTTCAAGCCATAGAACTAGAAAAAAGTCTGTACTACATACATATACACAGGTTTTTTCTGGTCATTATTCCCTAGACAATACATTATATCAACTATTTATATAACATTTAAGTAACCTAAGGATGATTCAAAACAGTGGATGATATTTGCTGATTCTTTATCATTTTAGATAAGAGACTTGTGCATCCTCAAATTGTTGGTACCTTCCAGAACCATCTTTATTGACCACCAAAGGAGGACTATACTATTGACTATAGCTAAAGCTATGGGCCTTACAGCATTCAAAGCGCTTCATTTTCATTAATCCACAACCCTTACTTCAATTCTAGGATTTCAATATTATACAAGTATGTGAGTTTTACAGATGCGGAAACTGTAGCTCAGAGACATTAAGTAATTTACCCAAGGTCACACAGCTAGTAAGTGATGGCCTGACTCAGAACCACATCAACTCTGAAATACATTGTACTCTGTAGCTGTAACATTTTCCCCCAACCCCCCTGGTTGTGTGGGGGTGAGGCTAGTGTCAACAAGTCTTTAAGAGATGTAGTCTGTCAACACATTTTGTATATTTTGGACAGTCTCTCAGGCCCAACTTTCTGGGTCAAAGCATACAAGCAATTTTAGGGCTCTTGCTTCATATAGTTTGATAAGTTTATGAGAAATTGCATCATTCAAATGCTTGGTATCAGATGAAGACACTTTGCCAATGGCCAAGGCACAAAAGGAAGAACACAAGACCCCACAAGACACAAAGTCTCCAAGGCACATCAGTATGTGAGGATTTCCTCAAAAATGGTCTGAAAAACATCTGCATAATTCCTGGGCCTCTGGGTCACTCAAGGCTAGAAGAGGCTTTAGAAGGTTGAACTGAGGAGGAGTTAGGGGAAGATCTCCTTTGTTGTTTTTTGTTGTTGTTGTTGGTTTGGTTTGGTTGTTTTGCTAGTGCCAATGCCTAAGCTTAAGGCTTCCCTCTCTTCCTTAGCTTTTTAGCTCAAGGCAGGCACTCTTACTACTTGAGCCAGACCTCTACTTCTGGCTTTTTGCTGGTTACTTGGAGGTTAAGAGTCTCAGGGACTTTTTTAGCCAGGTTGGATTCAATCCCCCCCCCCCCCGATTCTCAGATTTCAGCTTCCTGAGTAGCTAGGATTACAGGTATGACCCACTGGCACCTGGCTGGAGATATTCTTTGGAGAGACCATTGCTTCACTGTGAATCATGCTATTTCCTTCCACTCAAGCTGTGGGTGTTTTCCTCATGAAATGGTGGGGAGAAGTGATACTGGATCTCCCCTGTCTACCCAACCAGACCCGATGTCACCTGAGGGGATACTCCACCCTGTGATCAAGGATGGGGAGCAGCATGTTGTAGTGAAGTAGGCCATGCCCAACATGCTGTTGAATTCCCTGTGTGGCTGGACCCACTTGGGACCCATCTCAGGCCCTAGGCAACAACTTGTTGGACCATGGTCAGCATGTTCCTTGGGACTGAAGAGTTACAGGAATGAGAGCTGTGGGAGAAGGTCCCAAGCTCTGTGTGTGTGTGTGTGTGTGTGTGTGTGTGTGTGTGTGTGTGTGTACCAGTCCTGGGGCTTGGGCTCAGGGCCTAGACACAGTCCCTGATCTTCTTTTGCTTAAGGGTAGCACTCTACCACTGGAGCCATAACTCCACTTCTAGCTTTTTTGATTGTTTAGTAGAGATAGGAGTCTCACGGACTTTCTTGCCTACACTGGCTTCAAACTATGATCCTCAGATCTCTGAGTTGCTAGGATTACAGGTATAAGCCATCAGCAGCCAGCAGTAAAGGACATTTTTAGGAACTCACAGAACTGGCCTTGGAGGATCATCCATCTGGCATATCTACCAAGCTGAACACTAGGGTCAGTAAGAACAGGATGATCACAAAATAAAAACAGCCAAGTGCCAGTGGCTCACATCTATAATTCTAGCTTCTCAAGAAGCTAAAATCTGAGAATCACGGTTTAAGGCCTGCCTGGGTAGGAAAGTCCATGAGACTCTTATCTCCAATTAACCACAAAAAAAAAAAAAACAGAAGTAGAACTTTGGCTCAAATGACTGAGCATCAGGCTTACCTGGGACACTGGCACATACATAGATAAATAAATACATATACATACATACATACATACATCTGGGAGTGGAGCTATTGCTCAAGTGGTAAAGTGTCAGTCTTGCATGAAAAAAGCTAAGCAAGAGCATGATGCCCTGGGTCCACATACACACATACACACATACACACATACACACACAAACATTTCAGCCCAAGTTGAGGGTACAGGCATGAAGTTTAGGTTTAAATAAAGGAAGAATTGGAGCAGAAGATGATAAGTATGGGGCTGGGAAGGTGGCTCAGTGGTAGAGCGCTTGCCTTGCATGCCTGAGGCCCTGGGTTCCATTCCTCAGCACCACATCAGCAAAAAGAAAAAAAGTTGGAAGTGGCGCTGTGGCTCAAGTGGTAGAGCACTAGCCTTGAGCTGAAGAGTTGAGGGACAGCGCCCAGGCCCAGAGTTCAGTCCCCACGACTGGACCCCCCCCCAAAAAAAAAGATGATAAGTATATATCATTAAACAGTCCTAGGCAAAGCATGGCCAGCCCAATGACTCTCTTAGTTCTGGTTTTGTGAGAAGTTCCAGAGAAGTTATGGCCATCTCTTGAGGGTGACAATCTGACAATCTGCTTCCCACAGGTGCGTACAGGGTGCAGTCTCATCATTACAAGTGACTGTCCTCACTTGGGGGACTTGGGTGGGGGGGAGGGTATCTGTCCTGTGAGGCTCTGCAAATCCTTTCCTTGGGAAGGACAGTAGATTCAGTCCCTTGTCGTAAGATATTATAGATCACAGATATTATAGTCCTGTCCTTCCAGGAACCCAAAGTGACTATAGGACGGCAACTTCAGAGCAACAGATTACATTTGAAAAATGGAGGAATATTAAGGCTTTTTTTTTTTTTTGGTCGGTCATAGGGCTTGAACTCTGGGCCTGGGCACTGTCCCTGAGCTTTTCAGCTCAAGGCAAACGCTCTACCACTTGAGCCACAGCGACACTTCCAGTTTTCTGGTGGTTAATTGGAGATAAGAGTCTCACAGGGACTTTACTGCCTGGGCTGGCTTTGAGCCGAGATCCTCAGCTCTCAGCCTCCTGAGTAGCTAGGCTTATAGGCATAAACCACTATCACCTGGCCTACTAAGGTTTTCTCTAAGTGTGTGTGTATGTGTGTTTGTGTGTGTGTGTGTGTGCTGGTACCAGAACTTAAACTCAGGCCTTTACACTCTCACCTGACTTGTTTTCCCAATGGTTGAATCAGGGCAGGGAGGCCTGTGGCAGAGGCTCAACAAAGCAGAGGGGCCAAGGAAGTCCAGAGAGAGGAGACCTGGGGCTGAGGGGCCAAGGAAGTGGGCATTCTGTTCCTACTGTGTGCTCAGAGTTTGATTCGCATTTATCAAACTTCAAGTGAGCAAACCTGGAAGGGATTATAGGCAGGCTAGTTGGGTTGAAGAGCCAAAACTCTTTCCTTTGAGCTGTGACTCCAAAGCAAAGACCTGTCGCCCCAAGGCAGAGACATGGCTGTGGGCTGGTCAGGATGTGGGCCTAACTCCTCCAGCCCTAGTACGAGCTGAGAAGATAAAAGAAGAACACAACAGTCACTGCCACTGTCTAACCCTCTAGGTGCTGACATCACCCCGACCTGTGGCAGAAGCTGGCCAGAACATGAGATGGATGCTAGATTTGAGCCTAACCATCTGTCTGGCTCTACAGACAGCCCAAGGTAAGACCATCAACCCTTCCTGACAGTGCAACAAGGACACATAGACAAGGTGTGGGCAAAAGGAGAGCAGAGTTCAAGGCACTAATCTACTACCAGCTGGAAGTCTGAACAAGTCTGCTGGCTCTTCTAAGTCTCAAGGATGCTCTGTAAAGAAAAGAGTCTATTCCTTGCTTTCCAGGACCTGCCTCTGTCTCTCCTACATAAACCTCGTTAGCACTTGAATTCTGCTTTTTTCTCCCCAGTCTTCCTCTGTCCCTTTGATGGTACCAGGAATTTAACAGGGTCTCATGCTTTCTAGACAAGTTCTCTACCATTTGCGTCACTTTTAATTACATTTTTTATATATGATCTCATGCTTTTGCCCAAAACCAGAGCATTCTAGCTACTGTGGAGAATAATCCTACAGGCACCCAGGCTTGTCTTTCTTTTAAAAATTGGTATTACAATAGGACTGTACTGTATCATCCCTCTGTGAATATAAATACCTTGTACCTGCTTTATGATACGTTGTAGTGACTGTGCTTTATCAGAGCTGTTTTTAATGATGTTACTCAAGAATGTTTTCTTTCCAGATGATGATTGAGAAGTTAATAAAAAAAAATAGTGCCAGGTACCACAACAGTAACAGAACTTTGCATTTTTCTGGGTTTTGTTTTTTATCTTTATTTTTCTTTTTATTAATGGATGTGCTGGATGTCTAATTTTGTTCAGATGACTGCAGAACCTGGAAAAGTTGTTGCTGCTATTGATGCACAACATACTGCTATTATTGGTCTTTTTATATAAATATAAATATATATATGCATATATACAATTTGAAATTTTGGAAACTTTAGCTGTGCTGTTAACTTTGGAAAAAGTATCCCAGTTTACTGTGTTGAGTTGGCATTGTACAGAAATTAATAGCCATATTGATCTAGAAATGCTAAACTTAATTTTTTTCCATTTGTACAGGGGTAAACGCACTGTATTAAATATGTAAGGTCTTATCTACGTGGGTTTGATTACAGAAACTAATATTCTCTAAATTAAAAAAATGGTATTACAGATGGGTGCCAGTGGCCCAAGCTTATAACCCTAGCTACTCTGAAGGCTGAGATGTGAGGACTGCAGTTCAAAGCCAGCTTAGGCAAGAAAACCCATGAGACTGTTATCTCCAATTAATAGTGGTGGAGTACTAATCTTTACTGAAAAACTAAGGACAGTGCCCAGGCCCTGAATTCAAGGCCCAATACTGACACACACAATAAAAATTAATATTATACTTTATAATGTGAAAATAATATAACACATTAACAAAAGTTTGTTGAGATGAGGAGTAGAGCTCAAGTGGTAGAGAACTTGCCAAATAGGTACAAGTCCTGGCTTCACAAAAAAGTTTATTGAGGGGCTGGGAAGGTAGCTCAGTGGTAGAGTGCTTGCCTTGCATGCATGAGGTCCTGGGTTCAATTCCTCAGCACCATATAAGCAGAAAAAGCCAGAAGTAGAGCTATGGCTCAAGTGGTAGAGCGCTAGCCTTGAGCTGAAGAGCTGAGGGACAGTGCCCAAGCCCAGAGTTCAGGCCTCACAACAAACAACAACAACAAAGTTTATTGTGCCAGGTGCTGATGGCTCAGGCCTGTAATCTTAGCCATTCAGGAGGCTGATCTCTGAGGAGCACAGTTCAAAGCCAGCCTAGGCAGGAAAGTCAGTGACATTCTTATCTCCATCTAATAAGAAAAATCCAGAAGTGTAGAGTTCTGGTGTTAAGCTAAAGGAGCTTAGGAACATCTCCTAAGCTTTATGACTGAAAAAGAAAAAAAGTTTATTGAGGGGTAAAATATATACAGTATCTTTAATGTACTATTTTATTAATTATATTAGATTATACCCATATATAACTACAATTCAGATCAATATCTAAAACATTCTCAAAATGTGTCGTTTTGCAATCAATACTTTCACAGTAACTACCATACTGACCTCTATTACTTGTGCCAATATAAATACATGGTGTTTTTCTGTTTGTTTATTTTACATACTGGAGTTTGAACTCATGGTCTCACACTTGTTTGCTTGCTGGCTGAGTGGATGGCATTTTACCACTTGATCCACATTACTGAGATTCTTATTGAAGGCAGTTTATAATGTATAATAGTTATATTACTTTACTTGGTCACCAGATATAAATGTATTTCCAGTATCATTCAGATGTAGAATTTTCTTTATTTTAATGTTTCTACTTTCATGGAAAAAGGACCCAGAAGTGAAATTTCTGAAAGAAATTTGCCCCAGGACTGGCAAAAAAAAAAAAAAAAAAAAGGAAGGGAAGGAGGGAGGGAATCAGCTGTATCATCTATGACTGATAACTGGCTTAGCCAAGGTGACCTTTCTCTATTCTTTTCATAGGCACTTTGCACACTAAGAAGCCTATAGTGGTCACGAAATATGGGACCCTCCATGGAAAACAGATGCATGTAGGGAAGACACCTATCCATGTCTACCTCGGAGTTCCCTTTGCCAAACCTCCTGTGGGTGCCCGTAGGTTTGCTCCTCCTGAGCCACTGGAGCCCTGGAAAGGAATCAGGAGAGCTACCACCTACCCGCCTGCGTAAGAGCCAGAGGGTGGTCAGCTGGGAAGTGGGCAGACTTGAGGAGGGTGATGGGCTGGTGCTTGCTGCTTGGTAGTGCTTTGAACAATTCATTGAGAACATACTATACAATCACAGGCAGACAGACTTGGGTATCCTCATGGGCCTCAGTTTCCAAACCTGTATAATGAAGTTGATTAGACCAAATGGTGTTTAGCGCACTGCTCTTGGCTTCTCATGGGAGACTGCTAAGCAAAAGGGAAGTGATCATTTGTTGTGCCCAGGACCTGCTGGGGAACTTAATTTTCTAAATGTGTCTAAGAAGCAGTGCTCACACACAACCCATCCCCTTAATACTGCATGGCACTGCCAGCACTTCCCTGAGGAGGGAGCTCCAACCTAGATAAGGAAAGCACAGGCTCAGTTCCACTTTTGGAGTCCCCATATCTTCCCATCCCAGTCAGCCAGGCTCAAGCTTCAGTCATGCAGCAAGTCTGAGACTGTCCTTTGAAGCAATGAGCTTAGCAGTTTATCCAGAACAAGTGTATTTACTGTTCATTCAGAACATTGAGTAATCCACTTTCCAGGACTTAACCATGCCAAGAGTAACTAGTGTGGTAGTATGGGAACAGAAGCCTTAGCTGTACATAAGCCCAGTTCTTGGCAATAAGAGCCCTGATTTTTCTGGTGAGAGGCTGGTGTGGTTAACTAGATACTACACTAACACCTACATTAGCTATTGCCAAGAAATCAAGAGAAGGAAACTGAGAGGCATTACCCAGGGCATGTCCAACGCCCTGGATTTGAGTGTGGAAGTGGGTGATTGAGAAAGTGTCAAACAAATACCAAAGACAATCTACACTGATCAGCCTGCTGGCAACCTTGGATAGACTTGGCAGGATGGACTGAAGACAACTAGTTGAAAACCTTAATCTTGGGGAAATAAAACTAGACAGTTGAGTAGCAGGGGATAGGTTTGGACAAGGTAGATTTAAATGTGCTGAGGAAGGAGGCAGGTGATACACTGGTGTTCCCAGAGGCATAAGCCTGCCTAGCTAGAACAACAGAAAGGAGAAGAGAAACAGTGTATCAGAATTTCCTGCACATAATCAAATGAGTTTATCCCCCAACCTTAGACAAACATCTACCCTGCAGGCTGGGCCAGCAGGAAGAAAAAACAAAGTGACCAGATGGCCTAAATCTGGGAATACCCCTAAAGAAGATATGGTGCTGGGTGCTGGGCTGAGTGCCAACCCAGGTGAACCAATGCTACTTGAGGGAATGCTTGGACAACCAATGAAGTAACTCCAACCAGCACTATAGTCAAGTGGACAGAGCTTAGGGGAGGGCAACCAGAAAAAGAGAGAGAGAAGTGCCAACCAGAGCAGAAACCACTTGAATTGGCCCTAACTAGGAGAAGGAGTTTGCTTGGGCAGGGCAAAAGGGTAGACGGAGCCTTGGAAGTGGGAGGCAAGCAGTCACCTGCACATCATGGACAACAGAAGGAAAGGGACATGTTCTAGAGCTGTTGAGGAGACTTTAGGGGAGAATGAGCATGAGAATGAGCAGGGGAATGTCCAAGGCACCCAGATTTCAACTTTTCAACAGTCACCAATAAGAGCAGAAAATCTTCCCAGACAGACTTTAGCAAAAGTTTAACCAGGAGCAAGACATAAAGCAGAGAGATGGATTGTGGGAAGGCCTATCTGCGTGCCTCCCTCTCCTGGATCCCAAGGCTGGTGGAGGGATCCTGAAACACACTCATGCACACAGAGAGCCTGGCTGGATTTTGCTTTGGGTTCTATCTATCCTCTGAGGACCCTGTGCTGAAATCATTCTCTCTGCCTCCATCGCCGTTGCTGCGTTCAAATTCACACGGTGCCTGCAGGTGCCCGCAAGAGACCTTGGGACAGATAACTTCCATGTACCTAAACTCGAGGAAAATATACCAATTGCTGCACTTCAGTGAAGACTGCCTGTACATGAACGTGTATGCACCAGTGCGCACACCGGGGGACCCTCTGCTGCCAGTGAGTACTTTGTCTTCCAAGTAATTGTGGCATCCCACTTTGCACACCCCACGGTCCCACTCAGGACTCATCAGCCTGCCCTCACCCAGGTGATGGTGTGGTTCCCAGGAGGCGCCTTCATCATGGGTGCTGCTTCCACCTACGAGGGCTCACAGCTGGCTGTCCGTGAAAAAGTGGTGGTAGTGCTTCTGCAGAACAGACTGGGCATCCTGGGCTACCTAAGGTGGGTGTGGCTGGGGGCCAGGGGAGAAGGTTCCTCTGGAACTGGGTCTCAGAGGGAGTAAACTAGGGTGGATCAGGAGCACTCTACATGTATCCCAACTGTTGAAATCTGGGACCCTGACTATGAATCCTAGCACCGGCGACAGCCAGGCCCGAGGGAACTGGGCAATGCTGGACCAGATAGCAGTTTTGCGTTGGGTACAAGAGAACATCAAGGCCTTTGGTGGAGACCCGGATAAAGTGACACTGTTTGGCCAGTCGTCGGGGGCCATGTGCATCTCAGCACTGGTGAGTACGATGCCAGAATGGACCAGCATGGACACAGGACTGCCTGTTCCCACAACTGAATTCCTAGCTGCACTAGCCTATGTACAAATCCACAAGTACATAAACATTCCTGTCCACAGACCTACGCTATCCCCAATCAAGGCACCTACCATTCCTGCCAAGGGCACTGTTCTTTACAGCCAAAGGTACCGGGTCTAGGCATAGTACTGACAATGAAACTAAGCTCCAAGGAGGGCAAAGTAGAGGCTTAAGATCATCTTAGTGGGTGCCTCCTTTTCTACCTTCCCCAGAACTTTGTGCCCTGAGCAGAACCCACTGTTCATGGCTGGGGCCATAAACTATACCTGAGAGTCAAGGACTAGGTTAGAGACCTAGCTTTGGCCCTGACTCTCTTAAGAGACTATGTGCCCGTAAGAAGAGTGGGAATCTTTTTCTGCTAAGGGCCATTTGGGCTGTAATGTTTTCTGGTATTGATCTTTATGTTGCTGGAGGGCAGCAGGGGGCGGGGGGGGGAGGTAGTGAGGACAAGTCCCCCCTATGGTTGCTTTGGAAGGACCAGACCACATGATTTCATGGGCCTTATTATACACCTGAGAGCCAGGTATTTCTCACCCCTAGAAGGTACCCTAGAGGGACACATGGCCTAGAAATTGAGCAGGGACCACATCCTACATGGTGGCCTCCAAGGTAGGATACCCAAATACCTGAGTTCTTTCTGTATGTCATGAATCTTCTAAAAGGGCTGGGAAGGTGGCTTAATGGTAGAGTGCTTGCCTAGCATGCATGGAGCCCTGGGTTCAATTCCTCAGTACCACATAAACAGAAAAAGCCAGAAGCGGTGCTGTGGCTAAAGTGGTAGAGTATAGCCTTGAGCAAAAGAAGCTCAGAGACAGTGCCCAGGATCTGAGTTCAAGCCCCAGGACTGGCGAAAAAAAAAAAAGGAATCTTCTAAGCACCCTGTGTATAAATACTTTCCCCATTCTACAGCTGAAGAAATTGAGGCCTACAAAAACTGAAGCAAGTAGGGAGGAATGAGGAAAGGGGTAACATTGATCAAGATGCATATTCATAAACTACTTCATTGAATGGCAACTCCTTTGTGCAACTATTTCATTTTTTTTTAATGAAGCAGCCAGGCACCGGTGGCTCACGCCTGTATTCCTAGCTACAGGAGGCTGAGATCTGAGGATCATGGTTCAAAGCCAGCCAGGACAGGAAAGTCTGGGAGACTCTTATCTCCAATTAACCACCAGAAAACCCAAAGTGGCGCTGTGGCTCAAGTGGTAGAGTGCTCACTTTGAGCTGAAGAGCTCAGAGACAGCACCCAGGCCCACAGTTCAAGCCCCATGACCAACAAAAAAAAAGCAACTTTATCCAGTATGCACTGGAGAACAAGAACAATATTTTAAGCAAGGAAGTGATTCCAGCAGATGTGCACGTAGGGGGTGTAGCTCAGTCTGTTTCATGGATGAGACTAAGCTAAAAAGAACTGAGAACAGACTCAAACCAACTCCTGAGAGAATGGCTAGGCCAGAGGATATTATGGAGGCTAGTTCCGAAACAGAAATTGGAAGGATGGAGAGTAGAAGATGATTGCAGAATAATACAATAATGCAATAATGCATGAGGCTAAATGGACAAGACTGGGATGTCAGAGTGAACAGAGGAAGTAGAGAAGGTCCCTAGGACTGGTGGGGCGGGGGTTGTGGAGAGAGGAAGATTGATGCCAAAAGATAAAGGTTTGCCGGAGTAGGTTTGGGGCATATAAGTTCTAAAATATGTAGAAACAGGATAGCAAGCCCAGAATATGGCTGTTCCCCAAACATTGAGAGAGGCTAAGAATGTCAGTACCAGGATTGTAAGAATAATGGGGCTGTTCAACTACTATAAAGCAGAAGAAGATTCCTTCCCTCTACCAGCAGATCCCCTTCCACAATTCCAGGCTTCCTCTGGGAGCCCTAAGGCCTACCACATAGATCAGCTGCAGGAAGATGTTGACTTTAGGTTCCTGGACTCCAGCCCAACACTCCTGCTTCCTACCAGCTGGTCATCATCCTCTGAAGTTGCTCAGCAATGGCCAGACTGGCACTTAGAATATCCCAAGAGGCCCTATTTCTGTATCTCATGAGTGCCTTGCTCCTACCCATATAGATGATGTCACCCCTAGCCCGGGGTCTCTTCCACCAGGCCATTTCCCAGAGTGGTACAGCACTGATCTCAATTTTCATCACTCGTGACCCACTGAAGGTGGCCAAGGTGGGTATCTCTTCTCCCCCAGGCCTTAGCAAGAAGGGGAAAGATGAGAGCAACCCTGAGTACCCCTTCTTTCTACAGAAGGTTGCACACTACGCTGGCTGCACCCACAACAGCACAAGGATCATGATAGAGTGTCTGAGAGCTCTATCAGAGGCCAAGATGAGGCGTGTGGCCAGGAGGATGGTATGTAAAACATTCCAGTTTCTTGACCTGCTGTCTGCTAGCTGAGGCCTTTCTTAACGGACCTATGTCATAAACAAGACTTTCTCTGATCCTCTTCTCTCCCTGACAGAAATTCTTAAATATGAACTCTCAGAAAGACCCACAAGAGGTAAGCAGGCCACATTCTGCAATTTTTTTGTTGTTCTTTTCTGCCAGGACTCGGGCTTGAACTCAGGGCCTGGGTGCTGTCCTTCAGCTTTTTCATTCAAGGAGGCTAGTGCTCTACCACTTGGGCCACAGCTTCACTTAGGCTCTTTCTTTGGTGGTTAACTGGAGGTAACAGTCTCAAGAACTTTCCTGCTCAGGCTGGCTTCAGACTGAAATCCACAGATCTCAACTTCCTGAATAGCTAGGATTTACAGGTATGAGTCACCAGCACCCAGCTCAGTTTTTATTGACTATCTTCTGTGTGCAAGCCACTCAAGATACTCAACAAATTGTTTAGGCCAAGATCCCTTCCCTAGTGGAAGTGATGCTCCAATGGGGAAAGACAATGAACTCTACAAATAAATAATTCACCTCTTTAAGAAGGTGGTGAGCATCAATTAATGGAGATGGTAAGGGATGTCAGGAGTGGGAGGAGGGATAGGATTTCAACAGAATAAATATAGTTCAGGCATGCCTCATTGAAGTGACATTTTATAAAAATTGTCAAGAGACATGGAATGGGCCACGGATACAAACAGCAAGCATTCCAAGAGTGGACTCTTATCTGTCCTGGTCCCCTCCCACATTCACCTTCTCAAAGGTGAATTATTTTTTCCCAAGAGTCTAGGCTAATGCAGCCATCAGAGGGAGGACCTGCTGAGCCAAACATTCAAGGACAAGGGGACTCTGTGAGGACATGTGGAATAACTGACTGAAAATACCCTTGACCTTGCAGATCATATGGTTTCCGAGCCCAGTGGTGGATGGTGTGGTGCTCCCAGATGACCCTGCAGCACTCTTGGCCTTGGGGAAGTTTTCACCTATCCCTTATCTTCTAGGTGTCAACAACCATGAGTTTGAATGGGTCTTGCCTTATGTAAGTGACAGGGAAGGGTAGCTACCATAGTGAGGTAGCATGGAGTTTCTATTGGGCAGTATTGAGTGCCTGTCAGATCACCGTAGCCGCTCTGAGGATACACAAGTACTTAAGAATCTCCTGGGTTCTCTGTTTCGGGAGAGCTAGCTAGGAATGGTTGGGTGAGGGTGTGGGGGAGGGCGGCAGGGGGGAAGAGACAGGGAGAAGTATGGCCTCTTGGGAGTTTGAGAGTTCCAAATCCCCAAGTCATATTTTAGATGGGTTATGATGTCTATCCCTAAGCCTCCAGGTAACTACAAATCTTGGAGCCCTCTTCACTCCAGGGAGGATGTCCATGCTCAGTATGACCCCCACCACCCCCACTACCATTCCATTCTTCTCCTCTGGACCAGGTGGCAGTGATAAAAGGGAACAGAAGGGCAGGGAAAGGTCACAGGCCTTTCCTGCATCCATGAACTCTAGCTGAAAGATCTCCATTTATATGGGTAAACCTTCAGGCCTAGCCACACTCAGGATCTTGTCTTTGAGCAGATAATGAAGTTTCCACTACAAAAGCATGTAATGAGAAGAGATGCTCTCATCAAGGTATTCGAGAAGACCAGCACCATGTTGGTGAGTGGCCCAGCTGGTAGGGGGGCTCAGTTGAATAGGACTGACCTCTTACCCTGTTTATTAATCTAGTAACTGTTCTTTGCAAGAGCTAAAGATAGTATCTTTCTTGGAGAGCCTCAAAGGAGCTGGGTGGCTGATGGGCAAGGTCTCCAAGCCATCCTCGGAGTCATGGGAGATCGTTCTCATGAAGCAAAAACAAGGGAAAGAGTCAGTCAAAACAGCCAGGAGTTGGTGGCTCACACCTGTAATCCCTAGCTACTCAGGAAGCTGAGATCTGAGGATTGGGGTTCAAAGCCAGCCCAAGCAAGAAAAGTCTGTGAGACTCTTATCTCCAATTAATAAGCAGAAAGCAGAAAGTACAACTATGGCTCAAAGTGGTAGAGCACTAGCCTTGAGCAAAAAAGCTCAGAGACAGTGCCCAAGCCCTGAGTACAAGCCCCACAGCTGACAAAAACAAAACAAAACAAAGCAAAAGCCAGAGACCTTTCTGGGATGGTCTCCTTTCCCAAAACTCCTGGGTAGGGGGAGGTGTGAAGCTGAGTCCAAGGCATTGCTTTCCTCACATCTGGCCCATCTGGCATGAGAGAGCTCAGGGTGGGTCTGGTCTGCTGGCCTAGAATATCACTAAGGAACAGATTCCACTCGTGATGGATGAGTACCTGAGTAACATGTCTAAAGAAGACTGGAAGATGATAAGAAGCCACGTGATAGACTTAGCTGGAGATGCCACCTTCATGGACTCAACAGTGCGAACTGCCCGCTACCACCGGGGTATGAGGGACCCCTCCCCGCAAGAATGAACCACTGATCTGCTTCACTCTCTTGCTGTTCCGCTTGCCTGCTGGACCACTTTCCAGCAAGACTTACTAATCACTCCCCAACCATCTCTGCATTTCTGGACTGGCTGGTGTAGAATTCCAAAATATGACAGAGGAGGTAGGAAAAGCCCAGAGTAGTGATTCATGCTTGTAATCCCGGCACTTAGGAAGGTGAGTCACAAGAGGGAGACCCTGTCTCAAAAAAATTGGAGTCATGGGAGATCGTTCTCATGAAGCAAAAATACGGTAAGAGTCAGTCAAAACAGCCAGGAGTTGGTGGCTCACGCCTGTAATCCTAGCTACTCCTGAGGCTGAGATCTGAGGAACATGGTTCAAAACCAGCTCGGGCAGCAAAGTCCGTGAGACTCTTATCTCCAATAAACCAGTAGAAAACCGGAAGTGGCGCTGTGGCTCAAGCAGTAGAATGTTTGCCTTGAGCTGAAGAGCACAGGGACAGCGCCCAAGCCCAGAGTTCAAGCCCCACGACTGACCAAAAAAAAAAAAAAATCAAAACCAAGGGGCTGGGACATTGGCTCAGTGGTAGAGTGCTTGCTTTGCATGCATGAGGCCCTGGGTTCGATTCCTCAGTACTACATAAGCAGAAAAAAAGCTTGAAGTGGCGCTGTAGCTCAAGTGGTAGAGTGCTAGCCTTGCACTGAAGAGCTGAGGGACAGTGCCCAGGCCCAGAGTTCAGCTCCAATGACCGACCAAAAAAAAAAAAAAATCAAAACCAAGAGAAATATACACATTACCTGAATTGTGAGATGCTAACTCCTCTGTACAACACTTTAATAATAACAAAATTATATACTAAAAAAAATCAAGGGCTGGGAAAGTGGCTCAATGGTAGAGTGCTTGCCTTGCATGCCTGAGGCCCTGGGTTCGATTCCTCAGCACCACCTAAGCAAGCAAAAAGAAAAAAAAAGCCGGAAGTGGCGCTGTGGCTCAAGTGGTAGAGCGCTAGCCTTGAGCTGAAGAGCTGAGGGCCAGCGCCCAGGCCCAGAGTTCAGGCCCCACGACCAGATCCAAAAAACAAAACAAAACAAAATAAAAAAAAAATCAAGGGCTGGGAATGTGGCTTAGTAGCAGAGTGTTTGCCTAGCATGCATGAAGCCCTGGGTTTAATTCCTCAGTACCACATAAACAGAAAAAGCCAGAAGTGGTGCTGTTGCTCAAGTGGTAGAGCTCTACCACTTGAAGCTCAAGGACAGAACCCAGGCCCTGAGTTCAAGCCCTAGGACTGGAAAAAAAAAATCAAAAACAAAAATGAGGAGGCACTGAGCCATCAATCATGCAAGAGGAAGAGAGGGAGCAATTCCTTAGGAACGAGAGCAAAATCTCAGTCAACCTAGAGGAGAAAGCTAGGGCGGCAGTTTCCTGAATGAGAGACAGACATAGTGGCAACTGTCAGAAAATCCTGCCAAACTGATCGAGGTCTAGGAGCATGTTGGTAGGAGGTCAAAGGAGGACTGGAGAGGGCAGGTGCTAAGGACCTTTAAATGCTAGACCAAAAATGGAAAGTTCAACTGCATGCCAGTGGCTCACATCTGTAATCTACAACTCAGGAAGCTGCATTCTGGGTATTGCAGTTCAAAGCCAGTCTGGGTAGGAAAGTGTGTGAGATGCTTATCTCTAATTAACCAGCAAAATGCTAGAAGTGAAGTATGACTCAATTCATAGAGCACCAGCCTTGAGCAAAAAAAGCTAAGGGACTGCATCCAGGTCCTGAGTTCAAGCCCCAGTACCAGCATAAAAACCAAAGCAAAAAAAGAAAAGTTCAAAACAGAGGAGAGGAAAGTTTTCATTTCCTGTCATAATCCTGCAAATTAGGTATCTCTGCAGCTCAGAGTGGTTGAGTGACTTGCCCAGGGTCACAGAACTAAGGAGTGATAAAGAAGGCAGGCAGAATTCAAATCAGTGCCCTTGATTCTGAAGCTGACGCTTATTCTTTGGTTTGATGCAGGTGGGTGGAACGTGTGGAGGATGGGAAGGACAGATTGGGCTTTTTCTGCATTCTTCTTCCATATCCCTATTCACAGATGCTGGCTTCCCTGTTTACTTGTATGAATTCGAGCGCAAAGTTCCCTCAAGAATAGTTATCAAACCTCTTAAGGATGGAGCAGACCATGGGGACGAGATCCACTACATCTTTGGAGGTCCCTTCTCCAAAGGTACTAATACATTACCTGACACTCCCTGATGGGGTCCATCTCCTCACTTGTATGTAGAGAACTCTCTCAATCTCTAGTCCTTTCCCTCACTTTGGTGTCCAAGGGAGCCAATGAGCCAGTCCCTAGTCTAAGATGCATTTTGTGTGTGTGTGTGTGTGTGTGTGTGTGAGCTGGTCCTGGGACTTGAACTGGAGGCCTGCTTTCTCATTCAATGCTGTTAGCACTCTACCACTTGAGCCACAGCTCCATTTTCAGCTTTTGGGAGGTAAGAGTCTCACAGACATTCCTGCCTGGGCTGACTTCAAACCCCAATCCTCAGATCTCAGCCTCCTGAGTGGCTAGGATTACAGGCATGAGCCACTGGCACTGGGCTGAGATGCAGTCTTAAATAGAAGTCTTCTGCAGAGTTGAAGGTCAGCATCCCTGCTCTGACCTAAATGCCATACCCTGTTCTGTCACCAGGCCGATCTACAAGTGAAGAGAGAGCGCTTAGCCTCCGGATGATGAAATACTGGGGCAATTTTGCCCGCACAGGGTGAGTCTGTCCTCCTGACACATCTGAGCAGAGCAGGACCTGAAGGATGGCTGCTTTGGGTATTTGACCCTGGTATCCCACAGAAACTGAACAGTCAGTTTGTCCAGAGTGCCTTTTCCAGCCATGAGATCCTAAGTGTCTCTAGAATGTGTCCCTCTCTGTCCCATAACCCATACTCTTTCTTCACTCAAGTATTCAACAGTCACTTACTGATGCTCCCTTGTGTGCCATGCCTTAGTACTGGAACTGACACTTAAAGATGTCAGTGATGTGTGATCCATCCTTCCCCAGCTCACCCTATGAAAATATAATGTTAGCAAAAAAAAAAAAATCAGGCAATATGAGAAGACTGGTCTTAGATGACACCAGCTAGGTAGCAAAGGAGGCTTCAGGTAAAGGTGACACCTAAACTGAGCTTTGTCTACCTTATGACTATTTCCCTTCTCCCACCTTTTCTTCTCCATCCTCCTGTGACACTGGAGGGATCTTTCTGAAATATCATCTAAGACACTCTTTTTTTGGGGGGGAGGGTCCGATCGTGGGGCCTGAACTCTGGGCCTGGGCGCTGTCCCTCAGCTCTTCAGCTCAAGGCTAGATCTCTACCACTTGAGCCACAGAGCCACTTCCAGCTTTTTTCTTTTTGATTATGTGTGCTGAGGAATTGAACCCCGGACCTCAGGCATGCAAGGCAAGCGCTCTACCACTGAGCCACCTTCCAGCCCCCTGACCAAGTCACTCTTATGCTTAAAAAAAAACAAACTTTGTGGCTCCTGTAATCTCTAAATGAAGTTCTAGTCTCAGCCTGGCATCACTGACATAAAAGGCCCTTCAGAATCTTTATATTTCTTCACATTCTCTATAGGGAAAAAAGTTAAAACTATCCCCACGATCTTATATCTAAATATATCTTACATCTACTTATATCTTATACTGAAGGACCCAAAAGACTCCATCCCCAAGCCCCTAAAGCTGATCAGTAACTTTGGCAAAGTATCAGGATACAAATGAACCCACAAAAATCAGTAGGCTTTCTGTATACCAACAATGTACAAGCAGAGAGGGAAATCAGAAAAACAACTCATTTGCAATAGCCTCAGAAAAAAATAAAATATCTGAGAATACACCTAACCAAGAAGTAAAAGATCTTTATAGCAAAACTAAAAAAATTGAAGAAAGAAATCAAAGACAACATAAGGAATGGAAAGACCTTCCATGTTCATGGATACATAAATTTAATATTGTGAAAAGGGCCATACTGCCAAAAATTACCTACAATTTAATATACTTCCCATCAAAATCCCAATGACATTCCTTACTGAGATAGAAAAAAATCCAAAAATTCATAAGAACAACAAAAGACCTCGAATAGCTATAGCAATTCTGAGGAAAAAAAAAAAAGCAATGCAGATGGTATCACAATTCCAGACCTCAAGCTCTACTACAGAATTATAATAACAAAAACAGCTTGGTATTGGCACAAAAGTAGACTCGAAGATCAATGGAACAGACTAGAAAACCCAAAAATAAACACATATACTTTTACAGCTATCTGATATTTGATAAGAAAGCTAAGGATATACAGTGGAAAAAAATAGTCTCTTCAATAATTGGTGTTGGAAAAACTGGGCATCCATGTGTAAAAAACTAAAATGGTTCCATCTTTCTATTCTCTACACACACACACACACACACACACACACACACAACCTGCTTTTATCTAACCCTGTACTGTCCCTGTGCTTCTTTTTGCTCAAGGCTAGCACTCTACCACTTGAGCCACAGTGCCACTTCTGGCTTTTTCTGCTTATGTGGTACTGAAGAATTGAACACATGTCTTTATGCATGCTTGGCAAGCACTCTACCACCAAGTCACATTCCCAGCCAAGTGTGACACTTTTATCTCCAATTAACCACCAAAAATCTAGAAGTGGAGGTATAGCTCAGTGGTAGAGTGCTAGCCTTGAGTAAAAACATCTAAGGGAGAGTGCCTTGGCCCTGAGTACAAGCCCCAGTACCAGCACAAAAATAAAAAATTGCATATGCTATTCCCACTTCTTGGAATCCTCTCTTTCCTCCCACCTCCCCCACCCCAACCTCCAACACCACTTTCTTATCTCTCCCTTCCTTCCTTCCTTCTCTCCTTTCCCCACTATGTAAACCAGGCTGGACTAGAATTCATGATTCTCCTGCCTCAGCCTCATTATACAACTATGCCTGGCTTTCCTGCCATTTCTTAAAGATCTGCCTAAATATTTCCACAATGCCTTCTTGGACCTCAATCTCCAAGGGGAAAGTAAATGAGGGGTGAGAGGAAGGGGCAGTGTGGAAGGTTGTGAAATGAATTCTCCCTGTTTGACCCTCTCTGGAGCAGGAACCCTAATGATGGAAAGCTGCCCTACTGGCCACGCTTTGATGAAGATGAAAAGTACCTGCAGCTGGATTTTACTATAAAAGTTGGTATGAAGCTGAAGGAGAAGAAAATGGCCTTCTGGGAGAGGATACACCTTCATCCTGAGAGGCATACAAACATTTCTGAGAAAGGCAAAGCAGGAGGAAGCTGAAAAGCTTGTCCCACCGTCCAGGCCTCAGGGATGCTGACATGGACACATCTGGGGACAAGAGTCCTGCCTAGCCAATCTAGAACCTGCAAAACCTCTCTCTTTGCCTCCATGCCATAGCTTGAGTCTGTTGAAACCGTGCACTAGCACTATGTCACCCTGACATTCCATGCTATCCCTATATCTCCGTCTGTATTAGATTAGGCCAAGCCTTTCCATTACCTTCTTATGGGAAGTCTACTCAGACTGCCACTGTTTCATTGCACCTGTTCATCATTTACCATCTATCCTGTTCAACCTCATGCCTGTTCCCATTTGGCCTTGAGGCTCTAAGAAACAGCAAAGCTCTGACAGTTTAAGATCTTCTCCCTGACCCATACTCATTTACCCCATGGTCCCTCCAAAGCCTGAACACAAGGATGGTCCTCAATAAAGACATGGTGACTGAACCCATAATTTCTCTATATAATGGCTTGAAAGAAGTGGATGGTGTCTTAATTGGAGCCCAATTGGGGGAGTAGAGTGTTGCTGCTTGCTCCTACCTGAACTGTGCTTTGCTGAGCCACAGTCAAGGGCAGGTACAGCAAACACTTGGCTTGTCTCTTCATTATCTCCAATGCAGTCCCTCACCTCCAATATCAGGACAGCCACAGGCCACATTCACTGTCCATCCATTTAGGTCTTAGTCCTGCATCCTCATTCCTCATTCTCTTGCCTGGCCTGCAACCCTACCTGGGCCCCTCCTAGCCTGTCCCAAGGGTTTTATTTGTTGTTTGGTTTTTCTCTTTCTTTTTCTTCCTTCCCTACTCCAGGAAATTTAACTGAGAATTGTGGTTTGAAGCCAGCCTAGGTAGGAAAGTCCATGACACTTTTACCTCCAATTAACCAGCAAAGAAAAACAGATGAGGATCTGTGGTTCAGTGGTAGAGCACCAGCTTTAAGTAAATAAGCTGAGTGATACCATCCAGGCCCTGAGTTCAAGCCCTAGAATTGGCACATGCACACACACACACACACACACACACACACACACACACACAGAGCACAAGCAACTGACTCTCACAGCTCTGTCATGTAAACATATTATCCCTACTTTACAATTAAGGACATAAAAGCCTTGCGTAAGATCACAAGCTAATAGTAGCAGAGCAAGACTTGGATCCAAGCCCATCAGACTCACCTTCTACCTCCACCCAGATCTAAACAATCTCTAACAAACAGTGGCTCCCAGAGATTGTATGTGGCAGTTCCACTCCCAAGGGACACACAGCCAGTATACTGTCTCCACCCATCACTTTAACAAGGTGACAAAGACAACCAAATGGCTATGTTCTACTTATAGTAGAAACCTGAGTGAGGGGATTGGGACTCAGCCCCCTGGAAGGCGATCCTAGTGTAACTTATGCATGAAATAAGACTGCATGAGACTGGAGGGCTCACTTTGTAACCTTCCTTCCTCCCAGAACTGCCTCCAAGAGTTCATTTCTCTCCTACTATGGTTTGACTGTGACTTGTTTCTTTGAAACTTATACTGGGGTTTAGATTCTATTGTGAGGTAGTAGGTGTGTAGAAATTAATCTGCATATGCTGCTTAAGGGGAGAAGCTTTTGGTAAGTAATTAGAATTACATAAATTCACTATGGTTTAGCACTACAACTGAATAAGAAGGAAAAAGGGGTAGGAGTATGGCTAAAGTGATAAAGCCCATCTAACAAATGCCAATCCTTGAGTTCAAACCCCAATATTGAAAGAAAAAAAAGAGGAAAAGTAAAGAGACACATGCCACATATATGTGTCTTTTCTTTTTGGAAGTACTGGAGTTTGAACTCAGGGTTTTGGTTGGTTCAAAAACAAAATGCCAGGCCAGATGCTGGTGGCTCACGCCTGTAATCCTAGCTACTCAGGAGGCTGAGATCTGAGGATTGCAGTTCCAAGCCAGCCCAGGTAGGAAAGTCCCTGAAACTCTTATCTCCAATGAACCACCAGAAAACCAGAAGTGGGGTTGCGGCTCAAGTGGTAGAGCACTCACCTTGAGCTGAAGAACTGAAGGGACAGTGCCCAGGCCCAGTGTTCAAGCCCTACAACCTACACACACACATACACACACACACACACACACACTGCCAGGTGCTAGTGGCTATCATCTTCACTACTCAGGAGCCTAAGATCTAAGGATATGGTTCAAAGCCAGCCAGGGCAGGAAAATCCATGAGACTCATCCCTAATCAAGCGTCAAAAAGCTGGAAATGAAGCTGTGGCTCAAGCAAAGGGATAGCAAGCACCAAGGCCCTGAGTTCAAGCCCCAGTACACAGACACACAGACACAGACACACACACACTACTGTTAAATGGGCTAAGGTTATCCTTGGAGTTTCCTCTTAGTAAATTTGTTTCCTGACCCACTCTGCCGTTGGCTATAAATTCCTACTTATCTATGCTGTATCCTTAAATAGTTGATAAGGATTTGAGCCTCCCCCAAGGTAAAGCTCCACTGCTAGCGTCTCTAAGCTTATTTCAAAGGTTTTGAATAAAGTCCATCTACCTGAGCTTTAACATCTATGTATAATCTTTTCTTTAACAGCCCTGTGAGGACTTTCTCTTATGGGTCTTGGGGAAAGGAGCTTCTTCCGGAACAGAGGAAGTCCAACTGTTGTCCTCCAACTGTGGCAGACAAGAGAACCACAGGGTATTCTGGGAAACCTTAGGGTCTTCCCAAGCGTTCCAGCAGGAAGAACTCTAGAATCCCTGGATAGAAGGGAGAGAGCTAATTCCCGGTCTCTGTACTCTCCCCACTCACTCGGGAAGGTGCCATCCCTTAGTTCCTCCCAGGGCTGCACAGCTGGAGGAGGGGGTGGGGAGGGTCCCCACTACCTCCACCTTGTCTTCCCGCTCCCACTCACATCCCACGAAGACCACCCATGGAACGGTCCTCAGAAATGATTGGATCTTGGTGATGACCCCCCCGGAAACTTCGGTAGCTTCATTCTTTCCGTTTACCTCGTCCTGCCCGCACCAAAGCGACCACGCAAGCGCACAGGTGCAAAGTTCCGCACTGCGCGCCCACGCGCTGCACCTCCCCACCACCCACCGGGGGGCGGGCTGGCTCCGGGCTGCGGAAGTGGTTCCCCTTCTTTCCCCTATTTCCCCCCATATCTCCCCGATCTCCCCCTACCCTCCAGTTCTCCCGTACCATCCTCTAACTCTCCTCCCCCACCTCCCTCTGCACAGCATTACCAGCCAAGGCAGCGGGGGAAGAGCCAATTAGTGCGGGAGACGCGGCCCCTCC